GGCATGAATCAAAAACACTGGAAATAACAAAGTTGGAGAGGCTGTGGGGAGATTGGAACTCTTATGCACTGCTGGTGGGAATGCATAATGATACATCCATTTTGGAAAATGATATGGCGCTTCCTCAGAAAACTAGAAATAGACATACCATATGATCCAGCAATCCCACTCCTAGGAATATATCCTAGAGAAATAAGAGCTGTCACACACATATGCACACCGATGTTCATGGCAGCATTGTTCACAGTAGCAAAAGATGGCAACAACCTAGATGCCCATCAACAGATGAATGGATAAACAAACTATGGTACATCCATACAATGGAGTATTATGCAACAATAAAGAACAATGATGAATCTGTGAAGCATCTCATAACATGGATGAAACTGGAGGACATTATTCTGGTTGCATGAAAACAACACTAACATTGTCCAGTGTGCTGAGAAGATATTTTTATTTCAGACGTATTATTTTACTTGCATTATAATTCAGAAATAACAATACTGATTTGAATATGAAAGCCCCACAAAATACCTATGCACACTACCAACTTGTAAAATATACATATCATTTTACCCATTAATTCCACTGCTAGGAATCTATTATATAAATATACATTCAAAAGTTTACAAAGGCAGTGTATAGATATTCATTACAACATTTAGTCTGAAAGTAAAAATAAGAAACTATTTATCAATATTGAAGTGGTTAAACAAAATATTGCACCCCCATGTTATGAAATATTATGCAACAGGTAAAAAGAAAAAGGCAAAGTTATAAGTAAATATCTGTGAAATACATTAAGTGAAAAATTAGGGGTACAAAGAGAACATGTATTATGAACTGCTGTGTATTAACAAGGATAAATATATATTTAAATATGCTTGAATATGAATAAAGAATTTTAAAAAAATACAAAAAACGGAAGTGTTCATAGTGGTTAAAATTAACTTTTCATTTTTTTACATTTTAGTACCAATTGACTTTTTACAAAAAGCATTTATTATTTTTAAGATTAAAAGCTAGGTTACAATTAATAAATAACATATGCATATGCTTTGACACAATAATTTTACTTCTAGTAATTTATCCTAAAGGAATGATTAAGGATGTGCATCAAGATTTATGTATATACTGTCCATTGTAACATTGTTTATTATAACAAAAATGGAAAATAACCCAATCCTGCAATATAACAATGTGATTAAATAAGTTATGGTGCATCCATATTATGACCACTATGCATTCATTAAAATGAATGTTTGCTCCTAACGTGATGTATCATCCTATATTAGCCAGTTAAAAAAAAATTGGATTACAAAATAGTGTGAATAGCAGGCTCACATTTTGATTAAATATATGCATAC